TTAGTAAATGATAAAGACATTGGTTGGTTTATATTACTTATAGTGACAAGTGGAACATTGTATTATGTTACTGACCCTTCCATAGCAACCTGACTTTACCCTAGCAACCCATATCACTATCTCAGCTAAGGAAAATCATGGAGACATGGGGGTTGGTTTATATTGCTATTATTGGTGTGGGGAACTTTGTATGATGTCACCGAATTCTCCATAGCAACCAATAACTCGACCTTGGCAACCGTTAAATTTTTCTAATAAAAATACTTCAATGGCACTTTTACAGGCCAACATCAAAGTTCAAGATCAAGATCCTCCGTAGGAATAAGCCCATGTTCTGTTGTTTTATCTTTCTTCTGTTTCATATTTGGGTATGAAGAATTGTCTTTGTTTTTCCTGTGCGTCAGGTTTCAAAAATCGTATAAAGAAACCCAAAGGCCCTCGAGATCCTCCGGCCGAATGGAGTCGCGCTGAAAGATGAAACTGCAGCAGGTTTTGGGTTTTGATGAAAATAAACGTTTGATGTATAGTTTGATGGTCAACATACTGATATTTATACACCAGGGTCATTTAATATTGGCATTTTTAAAGATTGTGAATAAGGAATGTTTATTTTGTACATGTAAAAAATGCAAAGTGTGCAAACGGAATAGAAATGTATGAAATATTTGGTATTTTGCCTTAAAACTAACATCAATTCTGATAGACACACTTTCACAAAGACTAAACCTTTCAAAAACGAAACCTTTTGCACAGTACTGTGTTGTAAATAAAAATATTGGTTTCGAGTGACTTTAAGGTGAACATACGTTAGGCAAGGTTTTATTTATTGCATTTATTGCAATTACTTCATATTTATAAATTTGTGGAAAACACAGCTTAAAATTAAAAATGTGCTTGATTTCCAAATTTATTGGAAAGTGTTTTATTTATTTTTGAAATGTTGAATGGTCTGTTAATGTGGGGGAGTGAGTATATGCTAATCAGATTAGTGCGTCCGCAGAATCTTCATTTCCCTTTTTTTGTAAAAAAAATGTCTTTAAAAGGTTTCAGATTTCATTTCAAAGTCTTAAGAATGATAAACGAATGGGTTTCATAAGAATGTGTTCATTTGTATACATTATTGTTACTGTTTTGTTTCAAATGCCACATAAGTGCCCAGTGCTGTGCCCGGGTGAAGTTTGGTTATTCGCCCATATGGAAAGGTAAGGTGTGCTCCCATTTCTGTAAATATTTTGCACAATGAAAATTGTCATTTAAGAGACTTGTTTTAATTTTTGAATGCATTTGCACACAATTAAAAAGGTTATCGTAATTAATTGAAACTATTTATTTACACAAATTTTGGTCTTAAGAAGTCTTAAATTTAATTCTGATCAAACATTTGTTCTAATGTATCTTTTAGAACTTTTCAGTTTGTTTTCGAGAGCCTATTGTGATGTGATGGTGTTTCCAGGTGAGGGCAGTGTTGAGATGTTGTTCCTCTTCTCAACGTTGCAACGATCATAAATTAAAATGCATTTACAGAATTAAAGCACACATTAATATTTATTGGTGCCACATCTAAACTTCATGAGGTTTTCTGTTCAAAATTCACTGTGGCTCTCTCTCTCTCTCTCTCTCTCTCTCTCTCTCTAAACTCTGAGGTGATTTTATTTCCATCTTGAAAATCTATGACCTCTTAAGTCATGCTTGAACCAGAGAGTTTTCCCTGATGCTCGGCCCGTTGGCAGCAATCCTGGATGTTTTTGATGATGAATCATTCCTACAGAACTGTATGGATCAGTGATATTCTGCAGGAATAGCATTAAAACTCTCGCTGCTGCTCTTTAAACTGTATCAAACATGCACAGCTGAGTTAACACTGTGCGCCTGCTGCATTAGGACCATTAACATCAAGTCACATGATGTTTAGAGTCCTCTCTGTATTCATTGGTCAATGGCTAAAGTTAACAATTCTAACTTAAGTTATGGTACGTTTCCCAATGTCATTATATTTTTAACTGTTGAAGTTGTGTGCTCATATTATTTAAAAAGTAAGTGTTTTGGGGTGGGGCTGGCTGTAGCCATGCCTCTCTCAGTACTATACCTCACAATCGATTGGTTCCTATTTAAATCTTTATTTCAGAATTTTTATACAAACATCATACTGCCATCATTTCTGCATATGGTGGGGGAAACCCTATTTTTCAAAAAAGTATAGCTATAGAAATATATCGGCAGTCTCTAAAGCCGAAAGTCATCGAGGTAAAGCTGTGTCTGGAGAACAACAGGACCCACAGGAGAAGACTTGATCAACAGTGGGTGAGTAGAAGACAAGGAGATGTCCAGTAGACACTGTATGTCTAAGTAGCAGACTGTAGGAGAACCAAGATTGAAAGAACCATTTGGGGTAGGTCAGGTGGAGTGTACTGAAGGTCTAACACTGGTTGTTGCACCAAGAGGGGTTTTTTAAGGGCTGGAGTGGAAGAAAAATCCCCCCTCTGTTTGTGTTTGCTGAGTAATTCCAATCACTAATGTGCTGCTAAAGCAAAAATGAATAAAGTGACAAAAAATTTATTACAAGGAATAAAAAAACTTAAATTCCATTTGCAAAACTAAAACAAACTTCGCCTTTTTTGTATTGTTATAAAATAAAGTTCTAGAAATAGTTCTAGCAGTTTTATGTGAGCTGCTGGCACCCTACAGCACTTCATTTTTGACTTTTGTTGTTTATAGTCACCTTATGTAAACATCACATGCTCTCACTGTGACATTGAGCATATGCTAAAGTTATGAGAAGAAAGCGGCAGAGCCCTATATGGGGTTTCTTTGATTATGCCAAAGAATTTTTTGTGCTCGAAAATCCAACAAATCTCGACGTACATCTATTGAAGCTTGCATATGGATGCTGATGCTAAGCATTTTGCCAAGGAATCTTCTTTTAGGCGCCCCCGGCCTGGCAAGCCATTTTAACATGTAATAATCATTCCAAATTAGTCCCAATTCTATTTTGACTTGTCATAATTACAAATACAGATATTCACAATGTTTATTTGACAGCATTGAAGATATCTAGATGTTTATTGTAATGTATCAGTTCTACATTTGTTACAAATATTTGCAGATATCAACAAATGGAGTTTGACTATTTGCAAGTAGACTGTATCTTTCTCACAAAAACTGCTCTACGAACAAAATTTTCACCCGAATGCTAAGAAAATGAGAAATCGTTCAAATAAAGGTGTCTATTTCTATATTTAGCCATGTTCTAGAATGTAATATCTAGTCTTTGATCACTGTTGTGTACTAGAGCTGTCCAAAACAGAAAGCAGATGATTATCATATCAAACAGTCCCGGTGGATGTGCTTTTTGCCTCAGGGAGTTTTTCTCTGAAGGTGCTGCAGTCAATAGAGACGCCATTTTTACTCATGCTCTGAATGTACTGACTCCAACCCTGCTCTCTGTGTGTTTGATAAGACCCAGAAAGAGTCTGATAGAGGAGTCTGAAGAGAAGGAAACGCAGTGGAAAAAATGACAACAGCAGCAGACAGTGAGAAGAGAGAGATGATGCTGTTTTGTCAATGTTCTGCTAATGGTTGATCTGTTAGCCTCAAAGCCTGGAGGGTATGTATGCATGTGTGTGTGTGTGTGTGTGTGTGTGTGTGTGTGCGTGTGTGCGTGTGTGTGTGTGTGTGTGTGTGTGTTGGCTGAGTAATTCCATTCAGTGCATGCTAATGTGAAACCAGAATCTAATGACCTTCTGCCATGGCTTTTGAACCCAGGCCTGGAGCAATCTCACATCTCACTGCAACATCTCGGCGAACGCCCCCACAGCAGCATCTTAGCATAAAATCTCTCTTATCCGCACCATCGCTGATGATATGTTCTGCTTTGAGGGAATTATTATTGTAATGTTACAGTACAGTCACAGTTAGTTGCAGCATCCCCATCCGAATAATGAGCTGTTGTCAGGACAGTGGAGCTGCAAAACAGTTTTTCAACTTGCATTTGGATAGTGACTTAAAATTAATATATATATTTAATATATTCACCTTCAGTCACCCATGCAAATAATTGAATTTAAATGTTTAATCACCTTTATAACAACAATGGTTTAAAATCAAGCATATAAAGGATGCAGAGCACTTTTGTCAGGGCCACTCTCAGGAGCTCAGTGAATTCCTACATGGTAGTCTGATATGATGATGAGTTTTTAGTAAATCTTTCATCTACAAAAGCAAGGTTTCAGTTCCTTGAATTCATCGAGTAAACATTTTCTGAGCTCAGAGGGTGGGATATAATCCAAACCTTATTAGTTTTGGCCCGTCAGACACCTCCAAACAATGATTGAAAAAAATCCAACAAAGTACATTTATGGAGCTTGCATAGGCATGTTGATACTGAGTATCTTGCCAACGAAGCTTCTTTTAGTAGCTAGTAACCTTTTTGGAAGCCTTTTATTCAAGGCATAATTCCTGATTTTGATATTCTCACAAAAATGGAGTAGTCGCCATTTTTAGATTGTGTGTACAGAGGCCATTAACATTTATGCACTTTGACAGCTGATTTTATCCAAAGTGTCTTACATTTTGAGGAATGCACACATTTTGTCGGTTCTTGCTTGTCCAAGGGCACTTCCATGATCTTAGCGTCACTAGGCCAAGGTTCTACAGAGTGTGCCAGGAAAGCTGTTGTGTTAACAAGGGGTGAGTTATGGTTTGTCCAATTCCAGGTGAACTTTGAAATCTATGGGTTGTTGACCTTTTAAAATTGTAATAAATGACAAAACTACTGACATTTGTGGTATTCTTGGCAGCCATCATAACCCTTTGTTTGACGGGTAGGTCCGGACATACCTAGGAAGCTGTCTTAGACCTTCCCCTTCATTGAAAAGAGAATTGGAACAACTTGAATCTTGCGTAAAGACTAGAGGTCTTGAAGTTTGAACATCAGCCATTTAGGCCTGAAATGGACCAGAAACCTATTAGAACTTGAGGTTTCACTAGCAGATCCCTTTAAGGTATTTGTAGCTTTCTCAAGTTGGTAGAGCTTTGCGCTAACAATGCAAAGGCCGTGGGTTCAAATCCCAGGGAAAGCAGGAACTGACAGAAAAATGTTTTCATTCATTCCAATGTAAGTCGCTTTGAATTAAAGCGTTTGCCAAATGCGTCAATGTTAATGTTGAAGATAAATTATTGCAATACAATTAACATTACAGGAATGAGTCTGTTTGAATGTTTCATATTTAAATTTAAGCTTTTAAAGATGAAGAGCCAGACTAGATGTCCAAAGCAGCCTGGAGAATCCAGCTATCTGAGAATGACAGCGATCTGGATGCAGGGCCTCCACATTGAAAAAAACACATTGTATTGTGGGAATTGGTGGAACTGGGGCAGCTTGAATAACCGTCAACGTATCTCCGATTGAAACGGTCTAGAAATGGTGGTAAGGCTCCTCCCGAACTTTGTTTTATACCCCCCCATTAAGCAGAAATACATTAAAATATTTTTTTTTATGAAATAGTTTTTGCTCATTTGCTTTTTTTATCTATTATGTGAAAATCAAACATTGAATTTCTAATACAATATGCACACTTTACGCGTTTGCTAGAGGCGTTCATCCTAAAGAAGTTGCATTGCATTGAGGGAACTCAGTTAACCAGTTCTTACTCCTAAAATCTTGGTCAAATGAAAAATGGATAGTTGTATGTTACCGTAGCTATTCAACATGTAAAATGATTTGCTGTGACCTACATATAGTACGTTTGTCATACATTTTATGCTACATTTTGTTTATCTACTGCAGAAGAGCTCAGAACAGTCGCTACATTCACAAGCATCATTTCATTGTTGTTTCAGGATGGCTTCACACTCGACTGTCAGATTATTAATCACAAAGCCATCAAAGAGTGTCCCTTGGAGCCGGCGAGGAAATGCTCACTTCTGAAGGAAAACAAAAAAGCTTGTGAGTGAGGCCACAGTGGCCTTCAGGCTGATCTGGATCCAGTAGACAAAGCAGTCTGTGTAGTGTTCAGTAGAGCACATGGATATTGATCTGCTCCCCACCGTCTTTCAGTCCATCTGTTTGGATGTAGACTGTGATACCTCCACACTTCAGCTCCCAGCGCTGTCTCCATGGAGACTAATCCATTTATCCCACTGAATTACTGTATCTCACAACTTTTTTTCTCCTTGGTGGCCATTTCGTGTCTGCTTTTTAACTGTCTCTTTTATTGATTGCTCCATGGACACTGGCATTTTTTATTATAAATTTTAATCAATATCTGGAATCCTCTTCGGGTGAGTTTTCAAGCCATTCTTGACCAATTTCAAACGTTTTGTTAAATTAACAAAAAAAAAAAAAAAACTTATGCTGCTTTTGGTCACCACCGGACATTTAAATGTTTAACACTGAGCAGTGTCTAGATTGGTCCACACCAGTGCTTTTTCTTTAATGCTGCACATTCTAATATTGACCAATATTTGTACATTATGTTTAACTGGGGCGACTGGTACGATTTTTTTTTATTATTACAGCAGCATTTTCAACTCAATAATGCTTTGTGCTTTAACAGTCAGAAATGCCTCAAATGATGCAGCTTTTTGGGCAATGTTATGCGATTGCGTTTGGTACAGCAGGCATATTTCTGTGGTTTTATCTAAAAATTTCCCTTTGCATTCAATGGGAGTGAGAAGCTGAATCTAAACATTTTAGTGTTGACTTGAAAACCAGGCTTTGATATCTAATGATAACAAAACGTCAACATAAAACAAGATTTTTTTCCCGCTGTTAATGCAAAATACTTTTGATAACATAGATAACATATCTCTGTGTATTGCCACAAATTTAAACCATTTATGAAAAAGATGATGCACAGAAAGTTCTGCGAGGCAAAGCGTTTTGTGATTGAGCTCGTGTTGATGAATTACGCTGTTGGTGGTACATTTGTATTGCTGTGAAACTCAAGCTGATAGATCTATTCAAAAGAACTTTGTTGAGAAGATTTGCAATTACAACTCGATTATTATTGAGTGTTTACGTTTGCATCAATTTTATCTTATTTTTTGGGATATTTAACATCTAATTATTACATTTTTGGATATGAGCCACACCCTATATAGGCGTGTGATAGTAGTTTGGAAATGTGCTGTTTTTTTTGACCACACAAAACTCATTTTTATTGAACAAACGAATGTATTCAAAAGTTAAAGTTTGGACTTTGTGTGTCCACCATTGTTTCCATTGTCGGTACAAAGACTAGTGTGAGCTATTCCCAGCCTGGCGTGCTGTGATACCTCTCGTTTGCTCTCTGCAACCAGTGATGGAACCAACTTCCAACGCTCTATTAGTGAATGCCTTGGTTTGTATGTCCGGTGTAAACTGACGAATGTTGTGTGCTGTTCGCTCCATTATCTACTGTAGATTACTCCCGTTAGAGTATTTACATTAGTAGCCTGACATTGATCTAAAACACCAGCGGTCACCGTTACACTTGACTAAAGCAAGGCCATCATACGAAGCAGCCTTCATTTCAGCACAGCATGGAAAATAATGTTTTCCATTACACTTTGTGTCCTATTCAATAAATATGGATAAATGGAGTCTCGTTTTACCTCTGCACACCTCATACGTTCACTGCATTTCTGTGCAGCACTCAAGAGTTTGTGGGGAGGTAGAGGAGGAGGGAAGCAGCTCGACCACACCGCAGGCGTTTCGATGACTTCTTTTGGACTCAGATTAGAGAGTGCGGCATTCTTCAAGAGATCCAGCGCCAAGACTGAAGGAAGGAGAGCGTCTTTGAGAGAGCAAGTTTGGAAAAGAGATGCTATTTTTGTTGCAAAGCAGGTAGAGAACGTTTCTGGGGCCAATCTGGTTTTCATTTGGAACCTCACGGGATTTAAGAGCTCTGATGAAGAGAAGCGAAAGTTCAATAACCGTAATGAATTCCAGATAATGAATGAACTCGAAGGCATCTGTCATAAACGCTCAAGCACCGGCGAAGCTCGTCTCATCACTCATCACATGTGCTTTTTTAGGACGGCGGAGGAAAAAGGAACGTTTTATGGCAGAGCGGTAGCATCCCCGTGCAGGAACTTCCTGTTTAATTACGCCCGGCTTTGTCTTAATTGGCTTGTCAGATTTCTGTGACATCATTTGCTTTTGTGTGTGACTCATTCAAATTTCCGCTTGCGAGGCCCAGTGTATTGCTTCATTTACCACAAGTCGGCATGTGTTTTACACTCGACAAGCTCTCAAATCGTTTATTGCTCTCAGAACACAAAGCTGTGTGAAACTAGAATGAATCACAGCTAATCTGATGCCACAGATGACGTCTTCTTCATGTCGTAGTAATTCAGGAATCTTAAAGAAACGAAGTTGGTTTGATTTGTACACCAGAAATAAGCAGAAGATGTATTTGGCTCCCAGTTCCCAGTGGTTTTCCATTTTTTTATCTTCTTTTACTGTTGTTTCTGAGAGTCATTGCAAGGATTAGGTGTTTTACATGTAACACTTGCTTTCGAGATACGAAAGCCACCCAGGAACAGAATAATTTCGTATCTCGAGGTATCACTGTATATTGATATAATTGTTTTGAACTTGATTCTCTGATATTTAGTTGGCAGAGATTTTAGCCAAACTGCATCATTAGTTTTTAAAAATATATTCAATTGCGTGACAATAATTCTCTATTATTCGAAATGAATTATCTTAACACAGCACAAGCACCAATAACTGAGAAATCTCCAAAGTTTCTTTAGGTAACAAACCAGAACCACGGGACAGTCACATTTTTTCCTGTTAAAGGTTCTACAGGGGTGTTAAATTACTGTTACAGCTTTATTAAAATGACATCTTGAAAATTGTGCATTTCTCCTGCTGTTCCTCTCACACGGGGCTGACTGCGCTCAGAGAGTGTTGTGCTTCTGTGAGGGATTCATACCTTTGGTTAACTACAGATTATACTCCCATAGGGACACAAGCTGCACATACGACCTACTCTCTCTCTCTCTATCTCTCTATCTCTCTCTGTGTATTGGTGAAATGGGTGGAGAGAGCCAAAAGACGCAAGGAAGTATCTACTGTATCTTTAGAGAAAGCTATCGATATAGATACAGACATTGAAAACATGTCCACATGGCAATTTGTATGCGGCCAAACTGTGCCTAGAGAACCTAGAGAATTACAGAGCATGACTGAACCAAGTTTTACGGTTAAGGTTCACACATGGACCATGACTAGTCCAGGGTGCAGACAAGGGTACACGAGGGTTTGTGTACTGAATATAAAACTATATGACCTACGCCATGTTTGACCAACATCCAATGAGTTGTGTGTGTGTGTGTGTGGGGGGGGGGGGTGATGTGTGCTGGCAGCACACTATACAAAAATCACACTTTATCTCTAGGTGTTTACACTTCCGTGTTAGAGCAAGAAATGAGATTGTTCTTTCTGTGTTCAAATTGTACCTTCTATTGCAAAAAGTTAAGCTTTTTGGGAGAGCTAATGATGTCGTGAATGTCTATTGTGTTAACACTATTTTGCATAAGTTAGTCCTCAGTAGACAATGTATATGTATCATTGTATTTTTGGATAAAAAGCATATTGACAATGTCACAACATGAAATAAAGTGAAAAACACCATTTGTAATGTTTAAAGAGTTAAATAAACTTTAATATCAACTAAATATTAAAAAACAAAACTAGACTAAAATTATTTAGATTTTCATCGACTAAAATGCGACTAAAACTAAATTAGTTTTGGGCAAAAAGACTAATGGCTCCGACATTTTTGCCTGAAAAAATCATACGATCAACAATAAAATTGAGCTCATGTTGTGTTTATTACACAAACACATTGCCTCTGAACAATTCGTCTCGAAAAAAAATAATCGTAATCGGTTCATTTTTTTTTTTGTCGTTTTTCATATTTCCTTGAAGCGATTTCAAATGGGTTTGGTCCTTCTGTGATTCCGTAGGTTGGTAATACTCCTTGGCTTCAGACTCAACACAGAGTTTTGTATGATAAACAAAATGCAGATTATTATCATGCGTTTCCAAAACTGAATGATCGACATCCTAAAACAAATGTAAAAAATG